GGAAGTAGTTCGTAGTGGAGTTGGAATTGACTGGTGTGCAAGGTGAGTTGTGCTGATAAGCTTTAATAAATAACATAAAATAATAAACCTGATCATAATCTTTTCTTAACCCTCCTCCTTCATGACTGGACCAAAATGCGTGACTACTGTCTCCAACCACCAGTCAGAAGAACAGACACAGAGGAGGGAAACAGAGACACAGACAGAGGTACAGTAAAAGAGAAAAAAGTCAATAAGCAGGGTTTGTACATTTTATTATCAGCTGAGCTGTGATGAAAAGAAAAATACCGTCAAATACCGTGAAACTGGTGAAAATGTTGAAAATACCGTGATATAAAATTTTGATCATATCGCCCAGCTCTAGTTCATCCATTTAGTGGTTTTGTGTTCTTCAAAAGAGATTTAAACTGAAAACTCTGGACTAAGATAAACCTGCTGATCATTTACAGTAATATTAACTTAACCATAGTAGGTTATTATCAATAACTATCATGAGGAGTCATTAACATTAAGATGTAACATAGTAATTAAAAATTCACATATATGTAAATTTATTATAGTTGCAACTGAGCTGTATTAATCTGTTTTTTTTTTTATCAAACAAGTAGCTTTTTGTGTACTCCCCTGAAGTAGCTCTCAGTCTCAAAAAGGTTGGTGACTCCTGTCCTACAACAATACTCACTATATTATTCACCATTCTGCCTTTTGGTTTTAGATATTAGAACATATAGTTTATGCTGGTGCTACAACTGTTTGTTCTGTGCGACAAAACCAGCAACCCTTGTAGCACCGGTGCTATGAGCTAAAAAAGTTAACATACAGCCCTGAATCGTCATATTAATTATTATCAGCTAAATACCACAATTGACCAGGATTAATTTGTTTGCAAATATTGCCCAAACCTAGCCTCATGGCAGCAAAAGCTCCCACCAGACACAAATAAATTTGCCAAAATGGCTAAAAGGTCACAAAGTAGGAGGTAGAGAATAGAAAAGGAGGGGAAAACGACATATCCATATCATATAACAATTAAACATCACCATCGCAAGATTTTATATCGTGCAGCCCTATACTCACGTTGTTTGTCTGACGTAAACACATTCACATAATGCAGTGGAACACACTACACCCTCAAATGTTATTTTTCTTTTAAACAAACAGAATCATGTTTATAAAATGAAGAATGATGCAAGTTTGATTATTTTTCTGCAGTAAATGAATAATTTGCTAACATCCTAAATCATCCCCAACAGTGATAATCTTAGAAATGCTCCAAAAAACAAAAAAAACAACAACAACAAAAAAAAAAAAAACAGATATCTAATCCTTACAAAATTCATCCCATAATTCCATTCTAACAAGCTCCTGTCCGTCACTGATAATTCAAAGAAAATCCAACAAAGCTCCAACATTCCTTCCCTGCCCCTGGCACTGAAACACCTCAAACTTGAATTTAACCCAAGAAAACCCGGTGAGAAAGCAAATTTTCAGGTAGTTATTGAACAATTTATAGAAGGTGGAAACAAGCTAAACTCTAAAGTCCTTCATAGCACCTTGGAMAACAAACAAGTCTATCCCATGTCTTTGAGATTACTAAAAAATACTACAGTTATACTGACAAATTATTAGATTTAATGAATGCAACTGTAAATGTATAAAGTAGAAGAATAAAGAGAATAAATCTCACCATCTTCTCTTTTTTGTCCTTAAAGCACAGATTAAAATTTAATAATCCAAGCAGGTGACTGCAGCCACGTCAAGACAAACTTTATTCAACCTTTGAAAATATCACCTTGTTCTTTAATCTTACAGCTGAATGACGATAATTCCAACCAAATTTGCACAACATGGCGCTCAGCAAGTCACTGCACAGCTCCAATTATTCAGTGGAGTTTTGTTGATGAACTTTGAACCACCTTTTGTGTCAATAAAGTAAAGACAAACAAGAAAAAAAAAAAAACAAGAAGGGCAGCAGCGTATAACAAACAGGTGCTGGTATTTTAACATTTCAAACCAACAGACAAGGTCTTTGATAGTAAATCATTAAAGAGTCAACAGAAAAGGTTAAAAATGACACCACACACGTCCTGTAGCTCATAGCAACAATGCAACAAAACCTTGACAGTAAAGAATAATGAGAGTTTATAATCTGTCTGGAATGCAGAATAGGGAGATTTGGAACCACGGATCATACTTGATGAGAGCTCAAACTATTTCTCTTGAAGTGTAGATATATGTCAGAATAAAAACTGATTTTTATTTAGGTACAGTTCAGCTCAATATGACAATCTGCTTATATGATTATGGTCAGCATGTTAATGGAGCAAGCCATTGTTTAATTATCCAGTCACACAAAGCCCACTGTGACAGATCACATTAGGCTGACTTATATAGTCAGTTTTGACTTGACTGTAGAATAAAATGTAAAGTCTGCAGATTTATAAAGGAACAATAACTGTTTCTACCAAATGTAGAGTCAATTTGTCTTGTGATTGTTGAAATACCCACTGTATTTATTCATGTATAATATTAGAAATTTAACCCTAAAAATTATCCTGTGTGTGTGTGTGTGTGTGTGTGTGTGTG